TGTTCATTATACCAGCTCTGTATTGGTATTATTGCTTTGAGCTCTTTACAGATCAGAAAACTTGGATTATAGTAGGGAAGAAGGCTACAAAGAATGATGGAAGGATCCAGTCATTGGGACCCAATGGACAGACCTGGTTTCCATCATTCATTACTCATTTCATACATGGTTTATTGGTGCTAGGCAGGCTTGATGTAATGGGTATGTGACTTATGCAGTCACACAGGACTCCATGCTTTGACAGCCCCTGCATGCAGCCTGATGATCTACCATCACTGTCCTGAAATTCTTTTTTTTTTTTAATTTTTTTTTCATTTTTCTTTTATTATTCATATGTGCATACAAGGCTTGGTTCATTTCTCCCCCCTGCCCCCACCCCCTCCCTTACCACCCACTCCGCCCCCTCCCTCTCCCCCCCTCAATACCCAGCAGAAACTATTTTGCCCTTATTTCTAATTTTGTTGTAGAGAGAGTATAAGCAATAATAGGAAGGAACAAGGGTTTTTGCTGGTTGAGATAAGGATAGCTATACAGGGCATTGACTCACATTGATTTCCTGTGCGTGGGTGTTACCTTCTAGGTTAATTCTTTTTGATCTAACCTTTTCTCTAGTACCTGTTCCCCTTTTCCTATCGGCCTCAGTTGCTTTAAGGTATCTGCTTTAGTTTCTCTGCGTTAAGGGCAACAAATGCTAGCTAGTTTTTTAGGTGTCTTACCTATCCTCACCCCTCCCTTGTGTGCTCTCGCTTTTATCATGTGCTCATCGTCCAATCCCCTTGTTGTGTTTGCCCTTGATCTAATGTCCACATATGAGGGAGAACATACGATTTTTGGTCTTTTGAGCCAGGCTAACCTCACTCAGAATGATGTTCTCCAATTTCATCCATTTACCAGCGAATGATAACATTTCGTTCTTCTTCATGGCTGCATAAAATTCCATTGTGTATAGATACCACATTTTCTTAATCCATTCGTCAGTGGTGGGGCATCTTGGCTGTTTCCATAACTTGGCTATTGTGAATAGTGCCGCAATAAACATGGATGTGCAGGTGCCTCTGGAGTAACAGTCTTTTGGGTATATCCCCAAGAGTGGTATTGCTGGATCAAATGGTAGATCGATGTCCAGCTTTTTAAGTTGTGCTGAAATTCTTAACTGTTGAATGAGGGACCCTGTGCTTTCATTTTGCACTGTGTCCTGTAAAGTAAGCTGTGTGGGTCCTGATGCTAGGCACAGAATTCAGATGTGGTGAAACCCAGCCATGATCCTTGTCTTAGCTTCAAGTATAGTGTAAAAGTTTACTCAACCTTTCTGATTCTGCTTTCTCATCTGTAAAATGGAAGTCATCTTTCAGGTTTCATAAGCACTAGAGATGCTGCATGTAAAGTGCCCCGTCAGTGACAGTCATGGTGTGCTTAGTGTTCTCAGAGTCCCCGCTTCACTGGTCTCTGATGGTACCAGGCTGGTGTTTTTCTTGCTACCTCTCTCCCATCAACCCACTGGAGCATCCTCCCTTCTCCTTCACACTGGGCGTCTTTTGGGAAACCTCTTCTGTAGGCCCCTTCATCATCCACTGTGCTGTTGAGTGCATTCAGGACCCCAAAGCCTGCTGAGGCTTTCCCACCAGAAGGTTGGCATTCTTTCAGTGCCTTGGATTTGCCATGGCAGTGTCCAAATGGAGACACATCAAGCTGAGTGTCGTGGACATATGGCAGCTTTTGATTCATAGCATCTGTTGGTGTCAGCCTTCAGGAAGACCACAGCCAATCGATTCTCAGAGACTTTTGGTTGAACAAGGCTCTAGCCACTGCTGGAAACCAGACCAGAGCAGTTGGCAGGGCTAGGCATTTTTCAAGGAAGCACAAGTAATTCAGAGTAATCCGGGGATGAGATTTTCATCCTGAGCTCCCCAATTTCCCCGAAAACTGTGTGCAGTTGCCAAGTGATAGTGAAAGAAGCAGTTTATGATTTCCGGTGAGAAATGGATGTGAAGTGAGGCAGTTGGAGGGATCCCATCAGAATATGTCAGAGAAGAAGGGCAGCATGATTCAAAAGCAATGGCATGGGTTTTGGAGTCAGCAAACTTGAGTTCGATTCCCATCCTTGACTCTTAATGGCTGTATGCCCTTTGGCTAGTTGCTACCCCTCTTTGAGCCTCAGGATTCCTGGCTGGAAAATGAAGATAATATTACCTGCCTTCCAAGGTTGTGTGTAAAGGACTTGGCACAGTGCCCGGATCATGGAGCTCTCATCAGATTTCCTTTCTCTTCCCTTTCTGTACTGGGTCCCTTTTTGCTTAGAGTCTGGGAGGTAGATTCCAAAACTGGGTGGGATAAGAGCTGCTTTCTCTGCATCATGCATATGCAAATTTCCTTTGGCCCATTTCTATGGGTAATTGACACTTATCACATCAGGAGTTGTCACTGTGACATGGTATATGTTCACCTCCAGCTCAACTGCTCTGGCAACAAGCATGCTAGCTCACCCTGGGAGACCTCACATCTCAGCACTCACACACGTGTTCATAATGAAGACAGACTGCTGTGTGCTTTGAGTTGGACAGACTTTCTCTGCATGGGACTCTTGGCTATGTAGATAGTGTCATCTGTGATGACACCAGAACAGTACTACTGTCTCCTAGAAGGTCTCTTAATGATAACCCAGTTATCATCTTCCTCCCTCCCTCCCTCCCTCTCTTCTTTTCTTTATTCCCTCCTCCTTCCCTTACTTCCTCCCTTTCTTATCCAATCACGTGTTCATTCTCTTAGTGATGACCAGCTGCTAGTAGGGGGGATACAATGGAGTAAAAGACAGGTGTCAACCTGCATCAAAGAAGACCCAGTGTAGAGAAGACAAGGTCACTGAAGAGTCCTGGTGCATGCTGGGCATGCTAAAGAAGGTGCAGAACAGGCTAAGGGCAGAAGTGTCAGGAAGGTGCTTTACAAGATGTGACGTCTGAGCAGATCCAAAATTGGCAAGTAGTGATAAAATGGGCCTGCATCTTTTCCCTTTGCCCTTGGGAGGGACTGCCACCTCCCAGGCAGGAGATATAGCAACTTCATTATGTGGTCCCTACTTCCATCTCTGGCCTTATTTCTCATGCAACTCCACAGTGACAAACACCCCAACTACTTGCCCTCTACTGAGCTTGGGAGCTCTCTTGTGCCACTGAACCTCTGTTCTGACCACTTTCCTGCACTCTCCCTGTCTCTAATTATTGGTTTCTTATTCATCTTGAAGCCTAGGCTCAACACTGCCCCACCATGAAGCCCCCAGGTTCCTCCAGTTAGAACTCAACACTCATCCTTTTGGCTGGTAAGAATCCTCCTATTGATGATGTGAGTGACTGGGCCTTGTGTTGTCATTCTGTCCATCTTTATCTAACTAGACAATGAATGCCATTTAAGTAGGAACTGCATCTTATTCAAACTGAAATTCCTCAATGCTAGTGTTAAGTAAAAGTAAAATGAAGGAGTGAATGAATAAGCAGATGGAAGAATAATAGTGTGATTTGGGGCGGAGTCTCCACAATGAATAAATATTCTTTCAGAGTTTAAGAGAAAGGAGTCAGTAAATTTTTGCTATTGTCAACTTAGACAAAACATATTGTTTCTGCTTTTTTATTTTCATGAGCTGGAACTAACAACCAAGCAACAAAAATAATAACTACCATTTACTGACAAGTCATTGTGCATCAGACACTATGATAAATTCTCCCTGGTCTACTGTGTTTAGTCCTCATACTGTGCTTACAATATAGTTACTATTATTATCATGCCCATTTTACAGGTGGGCAATCAAGGCACAAAGAGGTTCAGGTACTCCTTCAAAGCCCCTAGCAAGTGAGCTTTTGAGTTAAGGGTTGAACTGCTGCAGTCTGGCTCCTGACTCAAAACTCCTGACCTTGGCAATGGACCATCTCACCTCCTGCACTCTGTCAAGGGTTAACTCTTGCCTTGGGCCAGGAAAATAGGCAGATTCCTGGCAGAGTGGAGGGCCAAGCCCTTGCAGCCTTGGCTAGGATCCTCGTTCCTTGTCGTCGAAAAGGCTTGCCTAAAAGAAAGCAATTTGTGACAGAGACGTGCATGGAAAGGTCCAGTTTATGTGGGTTTAGTCAAGGAATTTCCAGAGTTCTTAACAACTGCATTGTGGCTGGCAGGGCCCCACCTTCATTCAGGGAACAGGCTGTGACCCAATGATCCCCATCCTCCTTCCCAGCCAGCGTTTTGCAATCTGGGTGTGACCAGGCGCAGGGATGAGACTCCAGTTCTGCATATTTCTGAATATACAGGATTCTGACATCTGTAACCCTGCAGTCGGCTGAGGTCTGTACCATGTGGTAATCTGTTTCAGGGCTGCCAAATAGTTCTTTTGAAAAACATATTTTGGCTGCTCACTTATTTTCTGCTGTTGTGTTTTGAACAAGTGTTTCCCAAAACTATTTCCTAACAGCACTAAGGGGTAGGGAGAGGGAAGAAAATAAAACAAGATTGTAGAATTTACCGGTGGTGGAAACATAAAATAAAACCACCACCACCTTCACTGTCACACCTGGACTGCAGCTCTGGGACCTTCATAATTTGAAGTCAGAGCATCTAATCACCTGCCTTTCTCTGGCAAATGTGATCACGTTTTTATTGAACTTAACAGATCATTGTTTTGATTTGGTCCTGGGATTTCTTTCCACCCCACTGATTTCAGCAAGCTATTGTGACTTCCAGGGCAGGAAGTTGTAGGGAGTGGATGGTTTGGAAATATTCAGACATGGAAGATGTCAGATATGAAGATGTGGAGGTCCTGTGTGTTCCAGGCAGGGAAGCCAGCTATCTGCACAGTGACCAGCTATCTCTCTTCGTGTAGCCAGCTCAGAGCTGCTGATGGAGCCCTCTCCTCCTCCTCCTCCTCCTCCTCTTCCTCCTCCTCTTCTTCCAGTGCAGGGATTGAACCAAAGGCCTTGCACATGGTAGGCAAGCGCTCTACCACTGAGCTATGCCCCCAGCCCCAGGAACTCTTCTTCTAGCATCTTGAGAGGAACAGACTGGCCCAAGGGTCCAGCTCCTACAAATCCCAGTTGCTCTCCTTGGCCCCTTCCTAAAACCAAGAAAGACAATCTGAGCTAAGATGAGTTTATTACACCCTCACTGCTCTCCTGCAAGCCTTGATTACTGTGTACTTTGTTTTAGAATATACATGCATATATTTATACTACCTATATTACATATAGTAAATATGTTATATATTTACATATGTAAAATACATATTTACATATAGTAAATATCTCTATGTGGCATATAAAAACAGATATTTTAGAATGTGTATATAGAATATATAGAAGCATTAAAGCTTGTAATTACATAATTTATATGTGTGCCATTTTCGATTTATATAGAGAATGAGCCTTTCTTTCCCAAGCAATTACTTGGAGATAGCTATATATTTATGTATCCTAAATATATCTTTATATTTATACTTATGGATATAAATGTGTACTTATATAGAGAGAAGCTAGATGATCCATAACACGTATGTTGGAATGGTCAACATACGCACATACGCACACATGCTGTGTATACACATATGCACATTCCACCTTTTCCAGTCCTGGTGCCCGTGCACGCACACACACACACACACACACACACCCCATCTTTTACATTTAGTTTTCTCTTTCCTAAGTTGTCACTTCCCAGCAGTCATGGTGTACCCCCACACTGACTGTCAGCTCCTAGGAGAGGCTGAAGTTCACAGCCCCTTGTAAAATCTCTCACTAGCCTTGAGCTTACATGGAGGGGTGGGGAGGGGGGAGGAAGGGAGAGGGGCCTAAAGCCTTCTCTCCATACCAGCTCCTCAGTGTTCACCCCCACACAACTACCACTTTGTTTTCCTTCTTCCTTTTTTTTTCTTACAATTTTTCATCATGGCCTTTTAAAAATTTTTAATCAAATGAAACTTTTAATATGTAGTTCAAGAGAATTCAGTGTGTTTCGGATTCATTTACAGTTAAATCATCAGAAGTAGTTTTGCAATCACAGTTTGGCAGCCAGGAGCCCTTTGACTTGGAGTCAAGATGAGCTGGGCCATGTGGAGCCCAACACGCTCTGGACACCCCTGCAGGGCCAGCAGGAGTCTGCGGAGGAAGGCAGCAGCAGCTGGAGGTGGAGCAGGGGTCTGACCTGGTTGACTTAACCTGTGCTCATGTGCGGTTTAGTTAGAATGGAGCCTGTATTATTTTGCTCAGTGTCTCCACCTATAAACCAGGGCATTACAACACTACTGACCTCTTGGGCTTCATTCATTCTGTGATCTTGAAATTGGGGAAAACACCAATGAGCTGAGTCTCCAAGAGAAGCTGTCCTGGGGCCCTGCAGGACAGGAACAGAGTTGTGGGTTGGATTTTGCAGGGCAGAGAAGGTTATCACCAAGGAAGAGACAGAGGGAGGGATGAGGGTGGTATCCTCTTTACACCGTTAGAAGCAATTAGCACAGCACCGGGCACCTGGACCAAGTTTTCAAGACTGCTGGCTCCCATTTCGTGCTTCAAGCCCCTCAGTATGGATGCCTGGAGCTGCAGATGGGACCTGACCCCATTGGGTATAAACTGTGTCTTTCCCATACCTGTAATAAAGTTTACTTTACAAATTTGTGGCAGGGAAGAAATTAGTGACAATAACTAATAATAAAATAGAATAATTATAAAAATATATTACAGTGAAAGGTGTTTAAAGCTTCAGAATTATTTCTGGAACTTTCCATTTAATATTTTTGGACCATGGCTGATCACAGATAACTGAAACTACAGAAGGCAAAACCAGCACTCTGGAGGCTGAGGCAGGAGCATCAGGAAAAGAAAGAGAGAGCGAGGGAGGGAGGGAGAGAGAGAAAGAAAGAGAGAGAGAGAGAGAGAGAGAGAGAGAGAGAGAGAGAGAGAGTGTAGGAGGGAAGGAGCAAAGAAAGAAAAGAAAATTGCCAATATCCTTTACCCACGGTTTGGCTTTCTTTTTCTTTTTTTGTTTTTGTTTGTTTGTTTTCAGACAGGGTTTCCCTATGTAGCCTAGGATGGTCTGCACCTCACCATCTTCCTACACGGGTAGTCTCTGAGGAGTTGTGTGACATTCCAGGACTTTGTTGAAGAACCGTACTGCTTGGATACTCCCCCCACCCAGGACCCTGCGTGCTGGCCAGGCTTGAGGCTGGTCTCTAGAGGCCCTGTGCATTTCCTAGTGGAAGGCTTACCTGCTGAGGTAGACATCAGCTTTCTCCTCATTTACTCACCCAGAGGAAAGAGAAGGTGCATAGTCAATGGCCTTCAATAAGCATGGCCCCATGACAATGGCACCCAGTTGACACTAGAGCTCAGATTATTCTCACAGGGAGTGACAGCCATATTACTTGCTGGTGAATCCAAAATAATCCAGGGCAAGGGGCTCTGAGTGCTGGAAAGCCCCTCTGCAAGTTCTTCTAGAAGATGCACCCATGTACATCACACATGTGAGGGGACAAGGGAAAACCCAGCCAGATGGAACCAGAGAGGGAGGGATAAAGTTGGCCTGGATCAGGACAGGGGTTTTAGAAGGAAGGGACATTTATATTGGACTTCAGAGTATGAATAGGAGTTTCTGGGCAGAGAAGAGGGAACAGCATTCTCTGCAAAGACCACCTAGTAAAAGGGATCAGTGTGACTGTGGCCTGTGGGGGGACATGAGGCTAGAGAGAATCCCAGAGAGTGATGTGTTAGAAGGTGTGGACGTGGAGAAGCTTGGGCACTGTCCTTGTAGTGAGAAGGGGGACCAAGGGGTAGCAGCTTTGAGTTCACTGGAACCCTGGCTCCTGTGCCCTTTTATTTTCTGTCTTCCTCCCTTCCTCACAGTGAGTACAGACAGGACCATGTAAGTGAGAGAACAGCTCCAATTCAGGAACCCTGCTCAGAAAACATAGCACAAAACCCAAAGAGAAAGCTGGGGATTTCAGGAAGAGGCAGGGACCACCTCCAGATGGCCAGCCTTGCAGGGTAGACAGCAACAGTGCCGGGGAAGCCTGGGCCCACACTGGACCCAGCCAGGGCCGTCTTGCATTCTCCAATGAGGCAGAAGATGGGGGGACCTCAGAGCAAATATTTGTCACGAACGGGAAATTTTGGCTGGCTGCAGAATCACAGATAATTAAGAGATATGATTTATCGTTGGTGATGTTTCCCAGGCCTGGCCAACATGTAAGTAAATGTTTTCCAAGCTGCTTGGCCTGACGTGAGGCTGTGCTGCTGGGGAAGGCTTTGCTTGGTCAGCAGCTTCACGCTGGGCAGAGCCTGTGGGTTTGCCCATCACAGGTTCCTGGGCAGTGAGCCCTGCCCTGCCAGGGGGCAGGTGACCCAGAAGAACAGAGAGAACAAGGCAGAGTTGGGGAGAATCCCTGCTCTGTTTAACTGGGTCACCTCGGTTCCCCACGTGGAGTGATTACCCCATCCCCCCTCCACCACGCACACACACACACACTCTGGGGACACTTAGTGATGTCTGGAGGCATTTTTGGTTGTCACAACTGGGAGAAGGGCATGTGGTGGGTAGAAGTCAGGGATGAGCTGAACACCCCACGGTGGCACCCAGGACATGTCCACACCACGGACAGAGTTCTCTGGCCCCGGATGTCTGTAGGGCTCAGAGTAAGAAAGCCTGAGTCACAGAAGTGACACAGACCTCAGAGTGGTTAAGGACTGAAGTGAGACGTGACCTCTGTACTGCTGGACACTGAGCTAGCACTTTCTCTTGAAAGACCACAGGGCCACCAGTCTGGTCTAGATGCAAAGGCAAGAAGCCAGTGAGGTAGAATAGAGGCAAACCAGGTAGGCCCACCCTGTCTAACAAGCCCTCTCTCCTTCCATCTCTCCCTCTTCTTGTATTTACTGAGCACTACCAGGAGCTAGAAATTTGGGTTACGGTAGTGAACAGCATGAGGTTGCTGAACTCAGAATTTTCATCCTAATGAATTTCCCATGAACACATCATGGTATGCCATTGGCTAAACCAATCCTATAAGGAGAAGGGTGACCAACACAAATGGGTGGTGGCCTGTGTGGGTATAATTACAAGAAGGGGGATGTGACCTCCTAAGAAGTGACATTTGAGCTGAGACTTGAGGGTGTGAGGGCAGGTGGCCATCCCAGTCAGCATCCAGCCCCATCCCCAAGTCCCCCTCTATGTCCAGCAGGTGGCCAACAGCCCTTCCTAAATGGCCAGTTGCTGTTGGCTGGAGGTGAGGGGCCCTGGACCAGCTCTCTAGGTGTGGAACCATTCAGGGAGCCCTAGCTGCCAGCCTTCCTGCTCTGGCCATGAGGGTGTTTGTAGAAAGAAGGGTAGGGGGCTTAGCTGATTAGGGCCCATGTGCTCAGGCCCTGACTTGAAGAGAACCTGGCTGGGGTTCCTAGGGTGAGCAGTTGGCTCATGGTCTCTCTGAAGAGGGGATGGGGCTGTCTGTATCCCACCCCAGGCCCTGGCAGCTGGCTGCAGGCTGCCTGCCACAGCAGAGGCCAGGCCAGCTTCCAAGTTCAGAAGTGTGTCTGCAAGTGGGGCCTTTGCCATGGCTGGTAAGGGAATGAGGAAAAGAAAAGAAGATACCATGTCCCTTCTTCCCAGCATTTCTGGGTTTTTCCATTGGGATGGTCAGTGCTACCTGCACTTGATCAAAACGCTTTGCTGAGCACCCTCCGCACAGCCAGAAGTGCAGCGGGCCTATCTTGGGTGTGCTATGGTTCACCCAAGCTCACAGGTTGGAGCGTTCATTCTTTAATGCCTGTGGTGTTGGCAAGTAGGTCTGGTGGGAGCTGTTGGAGTCACAGATGGAATCACATCTTTTTCCTTGCTGTTGTTTTTTTGGTGCAGTGAATTTCAATTCAAAATAGACACTCTGAAAACAACAATAATAAAGAAGGTAAAAAGAAAAAAAGCCCGGCCTGCTTTCTGAAATTACAAGAGAGCACTGATAGTCACAGTTCTGCACCTGCCTCAAAATGCACACTACAGCAATTAGAGCAAGTGTTATATTTTTTTAAAAATTCATACAGCAACAACATAGTACTTCCCAGACCCCCTCACACCTTCCAGATACTTCTACCTCAAGGAGGTGGGACAGGCTGCTCCCCTGTGCAGCCCCAGCCGGATGGTATTAGGTGTAAGCTGGCTGTCCACATTACTAGTTTGGGCATGTTGAGTTGTTTTATATTGTGTGGAAAAAACAAGGTTTAGCATCCACAGAACAATGTCATAATGGAGATTCTTCAGCAATGACCTGTTCCATTCATCTGTGGACACCTGGGCCAGAGGAAAGCCTGTTCCCCAACTCTGCCACATCTACCCAAGCTCTTCCAACGACCAAGATGGAACTCCTTTCAACTAGTGCCTGACACCTAAGCTCCATTTCAGGTAGTGTCCACATGGTAGGGCAGGAATTTCATGTCTCAGTGTCATGGTCCCGCCCTTTTGGGATTCACATCTTTCTGGAAGGAATGAGTTAACTGTCTTGGAAGATAAGCATCCTTTTTTTCTCCCCCTCTCCTTCCTGCTTTCTGCTTTCCCTGTTATGAAGCAGGGCAGCAACCTCACCAGGTACAGTCACCTGATCTTGGATTCCCCAGCCTCCAGAACAGTAAGCTAAATAAACTTCTTTCTTTACAAATTACTCACTCTCAGGTATTTTGTTATAGCAACAGAAAATGGGTTAGGATGGGGTGCAGATGGGGAAGACATGCTCAGGGCTTTAAGCACACTAGTTGGGAGAGAAAAGACAAATAGCCAGCATGCATTCTGTGATGGAGATTGAGCAGTTAAGATTCTGGATGGGAAGGGGTCCAAAGAGGAGAGGATTTGAAGACTGGGTGATGGACAGGGGCCTGGAGCCATTGCAATGAGTGGTCAAGTTGGATACCAAGATGAAGGGGTAGTGGGGAGACACAGAAGTTTTGGTACAGTGAGTGAATGAAGAAAAATGACCTGGCTCTGTGCCTTAGCTTTTGGCATTCTGGCTAAGGCTCCTGACCATTTTCATTTTGCCAACTCACGGGTTAATGAAGTCTTAGACTTGGGAAGGACTTTTAAAAGTCCCCAGGCCCAACCTCAGCAGAGCCTCCAATGGCTTCCTCACCAACCCCTTGGGTCTGTATTCCAGCACATACCTGGCACCTCTAGCAATGGGATATCCTCTGTCACTACAGCACAATCCAGAAAGGTCAACCTTGCCCTTTAGGTGGGCTTTTTTTTTCTAGTCAATCAAGTGTTTAGCATTTAAGAAATTAATCTCTAACAGTTAAACATCAGATTTTACAGTCAGAACTAGACAATGATCCTGGCCTATGGTGAAATCCAAAACCTTGCTACATGACCACACTGGGTCCACATTCTCAATTGGCAAGAACAGAAGCAGAGAAACCCACATGTACCCTTCAGTTTCTTGCTGCCTCGGCCCCCTTATGCACCCTGCTTTTCTCCTTTGTCTGGTACCTGTAGCCTTTTGTGCTTATGAAATAGGGCAGGTGTTAGATTCAGTCTTTTAGGTTGGTTTTTTTTTTTTTTTGGCATTTCTGGGGTTTGAACTCATGGTCTTCACCTTGGCCACTCCACTAGCCTTTTTTTGTGATGGGTTTTTTCGAGATAGGGTCTTATGAACTATTTGCCAGGGCTGACTTCTAACTTCGATCCTTCTGATCTGATCTCTGCCTTCTGAGTAGCTAAGATTATAGGCACGAGCAACTGGCACTTGGTCCTGGGCTCAGTCTTTCATGAATGCAAATTCTGACTCTGTCAGTTAAGTCACTTACCTGACCCAAGCCTCAATTTTCTTATCCATAAATTGAGAATCACAACTTTCACCTCTTAGAGTCTTATGAGGATTAAATGTAACCACGTGTCTGCAGGGCCTAGCAAAGTGTCTTTATAGTGCAGGCAATTCGTAAGTGGTAGCTTTGTTTTTTTTTTTTGGTGGTGGTATTGGGGTTTTGAACTCAGGCCCTTGCACTTGCTAGGCAAGCACCACATCCCTATCCCTTTTTGTTTTAGTTACATAGGGTTTCAGGGTTTTTCCCAGGCTGGCCTCAAACCATGATCTTCCCATTTCCAACATCCAAGTAGCTGGGATTATAGCAGTGAGTCACTGGACCCAGACCTGGAAACTCTAATTGTCAATTATTCCTTTTCCCCCTGGGTTGTGTGGATCTCAGTTTCCTCTCCTGCATGGAGGCTTCCTGACCTCCTAGGAGATGACCCCTCATTTGTGTGGCCCTGAGTGTTTAATGCCCCTGTGTGCTGACTCAAGGATTACATTCCTGCTATGGCTTCTGTCCATCGCAACCCTCTGCTCACTGATGCCACTTTCTGTCATCCTCCTCTTCCTTTCTCCTCTGAGTTGTCATGCTGATCAGAATGGAGGGATACGGTCACCAGTCATACAGCCTCAGTCTCCCTCCCCATGCTTGGTGCAGGACTGGGCTACCCACCATGGCCAAGGTCTGGTGACTGAAGTCTTGTCAACATGGATACCCCCAACCCCCTTTTCTGAGAGGCAGGGGATACTGTGAGAAAGAGCCTTGGAGTTAGACAAAACCCGTTCTGGTTCCAGCTCTGTCAGTTTCTCCACCTGGAACTTTGGCCAAGTTCATTCAGAGCCTCAGTTTACCTACAGAGCAAAGCTTCAGGTTTAGCATGAGAATTAAATGAGATGCTACAGCCCTGGTGCTCACCAGTAATTAGGGCTGATTGTTAATCCTGCCTCTCACTTACTGGCTCCAGATCTGGATAAGATGCTTAACTATGTGTTCTTTTCAGAGCACCTACTGTGTGCTAGGAGGGATGTCATCAGCTCCCATCAGACAAGGACAAAGCTAAGCAGCTGCTTCCATCAGCGAGTGCCAGCTGTGGTGCTACCACCCTTCTTCTGCACTGTGAGGTCAGAAGGGCTTTGGATGAAGCCCTTGCTCTGCTCAGATGGGTGCAGAATGGGGCCAGGAGACATGGTAAGGGAAGGGTGCTCAGTTTACCCCAAAGTTCCTTTTTGAAGAGCAGCAGGGCAGCAGGAGGCCACCAGTGGTTGAGAGTCATGCTCCTCTCTTCTGCAGATGAGCAGAGGTCTTTCCTTGGAACCCTGGATGCAGCCCAAGTCCTGTTCCACCTTCCCTGCAGGCCAGTGAGGCAGGGAAGATGTGCACAGCTGGGCCTTGGGCACGTCTGTACCTGGCCTGGCTTTCCCTGCCTTCCCTTGGAGCTTGGCTGTCACTAGCGGTGGATGCTGGGAAATATCCTGGTGGCAGGCATGGGCCAGACGTGCTGTGGAAAGGCCCGCAGACTTTTAGGAAGTCCCTGAACAAAAACTGCTGTGTTCTGGCAAGTGCTTTGCATTATTTTTTCCTTTATAGGTGAGCCATACAGTTGGATTATCTTTGGCAGTTCTTTTCTCTTCAAAGTGTGGGACTCACTTTGAAGAGAAAGTGAAGGGGGCTGCGTGGGCTTAGAAATGGGAGGTGGGCCTGAGACTTTCCGGAGCACATGAGGCAAGAATGGGGAGCATGGCCACTGTTCTACAGGAATCCCAAGTGGCACAAGGTTATTTTATTGATATTAATGCAATGTGCCAGCCCCATACCAAACTTCTACATGTATAGTCCCTATTTTTTTTTTACACAACTACAAGAGAAATGTGGTCATGCCCATTTTACAGGTGGGAAAACTAAGAATCCAAGCTGTTAAGTTGTCTCAAAAGAACAGAGTTTGACCTCTGAGTCTCCATATGCTTAACTGCTGGTCTATAGTTGTATCAATCAAGGGAGGCTCAACCATTTGGTAAAGAGGGACAATAAGACGCTGGTGTTTCCTATTCTGAGGCTCAAAGTTATATAGTCATGTATTATATAACGATGTTTCAGTCAATGACAGGCTGCCTGTATGATGGTTCTTTACGATTATATCACTTAGAGGCCTCGTAGCTGGCTTAGTTTGTATAAGTCCATTCTATGATGTTTGCACAATGACAAAATAGCCTAACAACACATTTCTCAGAACACATCCCTGTTGTTAAGTGACACATGACTGTAAAGTGATTTGTCCAGATCATAAAAGACACACTTGGTAGCATCGAGCCACCTCTTACTGTGAGTCCTATGTCCCTGGGGAATCCGAGACTGGGAGGCAGATAAACTGTGTTTGAACTGAAGAAGGAGCATTTCAGTTAATTACTGGCTTTAAAAGCTGCCATTTTCTTGGGGAAAAATAGCAGAGTTTTTGGGGGGTGGCCTTCAAGACCTCCATAGCCCAATGCCCCTTCTGTACTTGTCCCATTGTCGTACTTCATGCCCACACTCCAGCTCCATGCACAATGTGATTCCTGCTTTAGAGTCCCTGTGACAGGCTCCTGAGGCACCTTGTGACAACCCACTGTCACATCTGCCTCCCAATGAACACACACACACACACACACACACACACACACAGCCGGAAGGCCAAGAGAGAACTTTCCTCTAGGGCAGAGGCCAACTGGTTACATTCACTTCTTCAACCTTTCACTGGGCAGAGGGGCAGAGAGACTGGCACAGACAACACATACTCCATGTATAGGCAGAGAACACAGAAATGAATGAGTCAGTGAATTGGGGTGTGCATGTGTGTATATGTATGAATGAGTGGAAGAATGAATGAATGAGTGAGTGTGAATCAGCCCTCCTCTTTTAACAGAAATTTCTAATACCAAACATGGCCAGGGCCTTTAGCCATCTATAGTTTTAGACTCTTGGAGGGTGAAGTGAGGAAGCTGAATTCTTTACCCAAAGCAAAAGGTAAGGAATATTTGCATTTTGATTTATAGCTCACAAACCACACCAGCAGGCGTCATTTATTTCCCTACATAAAAAAAGAGAAAGCAGGTAAGATGATGCCTATAAGTTCCAGACACCAAGTGGGAGATGGGCAAATATGAGGCTTCTTTGCCTTCCAACTCAGGATACCCACATGGTGTGGGGGAAGAAATTACTGTGACCCAAAGAAGCAATTAGGTCCTGGAACTCTTCAGCTGTTAGAGGCCCTGCTCACCTTGCCTTCTTAAGTGTCCGAGAGAACTTGTGGCAGCAGAGAGAAGGGAGAAGGTAACCAGAACTTGACTTGAAGGTCCACCAAGTGCCACCTGTTGGCAAGGTGTTTTACCTATGATATCCCATGGATCCTTAAAACCATCAGTGGAGAAGGGATTAGATCACCTTAGATCGTGTTCACTTATTCACACTCCCACATACTAGGGAATTGAGAATTTAGAAAATTAAGTGACTTGTTGTGTTAGTTAGCTGCCCATCACTGTTACAAAATACCTGAGATGTACAATGTAGAAGGAAAGATCGATTTTGACTCACATTTCAGGGGTTTCAGTTCATGGTTGCTTGCCTTGCTCTGGGTGTGTAGCAGCACAGTACCTCATGGCAGAAGCCTGTTGTGGAGAAGGCTGCTCACTTCAGGTTGGTGAGGAAGTGAAAGGAGAAAGAGGAAGGGGGCCAGGGTTTCAATATCCTTTTCAAGGGTATGCCCCCAATGACCTAACTTCTTTCCACTAGGCCTCATCTCTTTAAAAGAACTTTCCACCAATTCCCAATAGTGACATAGGTCAATGACAAGCCTTCAGGGGACATTTAAGATCCAAGTTATAACACTTGCAAAAGAGCACCTGAAAATGCAAAAACAGTCTTCCTAACTCCAAATGGCCTCTTCCTTCCTTCCTTCCTTCCTTCCTTTCTTCCTTCCTTCCTTCTTGCAGGGCTGGACATCAAACCCAGGGCCTTGTGAATGCTAGGCAAGAGCTATACTATTGAGCTCCATCCCTAGACCTTGTTTCTTTTACATGAGTCCCTTCTGCACTCTCTGTGATGGATGAATGCATTTGTGCAATTCTACTGAGCAGAGACACAAAAATGAAGAAAATACAGGTGGTTCACACTGCTTACGCACCAGGAACCAGGAGTGGAGGAAGATGGGGAAACAAATGACCCCTATAAGGTGCCTGCTATAAGCACAATGGGGCATGGGAACACTAAGTAATTCACGTGGGGAGTTGACAGAGGTATAATGGAGCCTTGATCTGGATTTTTTTTCATGAAACTTAATGATAAGCCAAAAACCTTGCTGGTCAAAGTGCTTTCCTAGGCCAGTGTGGAAAATGAATGAGTGAGAAAAAGGAGGGGATGGGGATGGCATTGAGAGTGATGGGTCTGGTGCAGGACAGCCTTGATATTAGATGGGTTTTAACAAAGAAATGCCCAGTTTTTCATAAATGTTGACAGAAAGAAAATGACACTTCTTTTTTTTTTTAATTTTTTTATTAGTTTATAGCAGTTATACAGGGGGTTTCTTTGTGACATTTCCATATTGAGTATTAAGTGCCCTGGTTTGGTTCATCTTCTCCATTGTTCTCCCACTTTCCCCCTTCCCCTTCTTAAAACAACTTTGACAGATTTCAAGGACATTTCTTTTTTTCATGTCTTGAAGAGCTCTTTGCCCACTCAGGAGAATGGTTGTAAGAAGGGCTAAGAATGTTGACAGCTTATATCCAATGTAAACTTCAATTATGCTCTTTCTGTGGGTCTCTCTCTCTCGCTCTGGTAAAATCCTATCATCCAATGAGCAGTGTGGAAGTGTATTTAGGTCCAGGAAGAGGAATGACTGCATTTCCTACTGGCCAAAGAGTTTCATTGCCAACTGAGATGCAAGGGGTAGAGAGATATGCCCCACTTCTCAATGAAAAGAGCCTGCAGGAATGGGAATTGGTGGGTGGGAAGGGAAATCCAGTGATCTTGGTATATAAGGCAAGTAGTGGAGAAGATGAGGCTGAGGAGACTGAGGCACATCCCTTGGGACTGGAATGCTAAGTATTGGAGTCTGTGAAAGGAGTCAAGCAAGGGAGCTAACACAGGGCTAGCTTTGCATTTCAGAAAGCACATTCTGGTGGCCATGAGAAGACTGGATCGAAAGTAGGTGAAGTTCAAAGCAAAGGATTCAAGTTAAGGAATGGGGAGTCTGAACTAAGATTATGTCCAGGAAAGCTTTTATTTTTGCCATGACAGGGCCATGACTTGGTCATGTTTAGTGTCCAACACAGTAGCTAGACCAGAATTGGGGCTCGCTGAATGCTCGTACGAGTGGCCCGTAAAGAGCAGAATATGGATTGGCAGGTGTTACAGGGACAGGACCCCCAGGGCTTCCCTGATAGCAGCAGCAGGTAGGGAGAAGTCCACGGTGGGTGTGAGTGCTCAGGGTCTTGCTCATTCAGCCCAGGAGATGACTGCTGGGCACAGAGTTAGGAACCAGTTACCAGGGGTAAAGTGGCCTCTCTGACCATTTTCTATCATCTGCTTCCTTCCAGGGAGGCTCTTTGAGATGACATTGCATAACTCACTTTATTCATCAGGGACTCAGTTTCCAAATTCTATAAAATGAAGAAGGTAACTCCAGACACTAGGCAATGTCAATAATGTCCTTTGCCATTACAAAGAAGCCCCATTTAAAGGGCACTATTGCTGACACCCTTCTCACCAAGCTAGCTAGGTCAAGGGCAGGCTGGGTGAACTGGATGGAGCAAGATTTTTTTCCTTAGTGGAAACACTTTTTTTCACTGGATACATTTTGGCAATGATGCTCAGTGCTGTAGCCATTCTTCATATCCAAAGCACGTTGTTCTCTTTGATGAGATCATCTCCTTAATGTTTGGTGACCTAGGCATCTCCAAGACTTATTATGGCCATTTTTCAGATAATGGCCAGCCTGGTGGAATTGTCAGTGATTGGCAGGGAAAATCTCATCAGAGGTTAGGACAGAATGCAAAAACCAGTTGAACTCTTAACTTTAAGGCCATGGCCTTTCTCCAAGGGAAGCTCCAATATAGGCTTCTCAAGTTCACCCAGCTCCCGTTCTAGCCCACTTCTCAGAGTTCTTTCTCTGTAACAATCATCTCTGCATAGAGTTGGAAAGTAGAGTTTCCAAAATGAATGAAAGTTCCTTCTTTAAAAGGGATTTGTTTGTGATCATAAAAACTACACTGGGACAGGCCTGCAAACTTTGAATGCTGTGTTTTCTGGCATGTGCTGTAATTAACACATACATACATACATTGAGCATAATTATAATATGTATAATCTACATATTAGTGACCCAATGCACAATTCATATGATAATGCCATTAATTGCATATTACCTAGGCTGCTTAATGAACATTACATAGGTTTTTAATGGTCGTAGTTACTATAATTGAATTCAATTATATTCCTGTTATGCATATGAGGTCAATGGAGTAGCTGGACCTTACAAGACATGGGCCAAAGGAAACAGGATTTTGTAGTGAGGGTAACTTGTAAGCTGGAGGAAGAAGGGTGAAGGCAAAGGTAATGGATGACTTGCTGGCTGAGCTTTTTGTAGGCTTGGATGGTGGTATACAAAGCAGGGTAAACAGCAGACAGTGTATACTCAAAGACAGGCTCTCCTACTTGCCCCTGTACTGTGGGTTTAGGAGAGGGTGCAGGATGGGATCCCTGAGCCAGCAATGCCTGTGCTGTAACAGGACACTTGCCATAAGGCTGACCCAAAGCTAGAGGGTAGTTGCATCACTTCCTCTGGCACTGTGGAAGCCATGTGACTCTAGCATCTGTGTTTGGCAGGGATGCAGAGCAGCTCTGCCTGCCCACGATGCTGGCACAGAAGGCCCAGTTGCTTCTTTTCTCCAAATTTTGTGTCTTCAGTTGAAGAGGAAAAGCTGTTGTAGCAGCTTCTGCTTTTGCTGCTGTTCATGTAGAGTGGAGGCTTACACCCTCTGGGAAGGAGTAACCTCATGTGCACTGAGAGCTGGGGTGAAGAGGTGTTGGAGTTCTGGACACTTCCTTTCTGGGTTTGTTAGTTTTCTGTCATTGTGACAAAATGCCTGAGATAATCAACTTATCCCAGGGAAGAAGGTTTTAGAAGCTTCAATCTATGATCAGTTGGCCCAGTGATTTTTGGGTCCGTGGTGAGACCATACATCACTATGAGAGTATGTGGTACAGAGGTTGTTCATCTCATTGTGCACAGGAAGTCGAAAGAAAGTCAGAAAGGGCTGAGGTCTCCAGATTTCCTTCAATGGCACACCCAAAATGACCCTTCTTTCTTCCAGTAGGTCCCACATCCTAAGGGTTCCATCATCTCCCAATAACACCATAGGCTTATGACCAAGTCTTTGGGGGACAGTCTAGATCCAAACTACAGACTCTTCTGAGGAAAGAGAAAGGTGACTCAGGTGCCATGGTCAACTGCTGTGACTGGGCACTTTTAATGTTGCCTGCCTTAATCTTCATGGGGAAAGAGGCAGGGTTTCTCTGATTAGGGTCAAAGTGATACTAATGTTACTGAGAGGTTAGAAATGTGCCCAGCAAAACACACACACACACACACACACATACACACACACACACTCACACACAGAACTAGTTGGAGGTGGTATGCAGATTTGAACCCAGGCTTATCTTACTCCAAATGTTGCGAAAGCAATACCTCCAGGCTACCTTGATTCTACTTTGTCGTCTTATTTTGGAAGGCCATTCTAGAATCTGATGCTAAAAAATAACGGAAGGACAAACTTGGTGTGGACATCAGGATCTAGAGAAAAGGAAAGAAGGAAAGGGAATGCTCTAAAAAAATCATGGAGAACCTGATTTTTCCAGTAACCTTGTGATGTCCTGATTTGCGTGTCTCTTCTTCTCCCTGTCTTTCCACTCCCTGACCACTGGTTTGCTAATGTCAGGCTGGCCAGGAATACACTTTCTATTTAGAAAGCAAAGGCAACCAGATTTGGGTCCAGGCCTAGGGACTGACTCACTTTTGCTGGGATGACACATTCACTGCGCATGTTTCACAATTTTCAGAAACACCAGATTTATTTCTGTCACTCTCCAGAGCTCCACTTCACCATCCACCTAAGGCCACACACTAAGGCATTGCTATTTTCTTTCCTGGGGCTTAAATGGATGGGAAGACTTCCCGTGCCTGAAACATCACCCTTGTTTGTAAGGAGAAAAAGTCTGGCCAAGAACTGCAGTGTTTTTAACCAGAATTTGGCTGCCTTTCAATAGCTCTATGCCAAAGCTATACCAGTCAGAGAGATGGCTATGAATACAGAGGGGGTTTAAGTCTTGAAAACAAGGCAAAAAAATTAAAAAAAGGTAAAAATGGCAGACAGAATAAGAGCTAAGTTTGAGGTGAAGGAAGAGAGGAGGAAGAGAGGGAATTTAAAAAGGGAAAGGTAGCTAGGGAAATAGTGAAGGAAGGCTCTGAGTGGAGGGAGGAGGGGATCTGCTCATATTAACTAATCAATTACTGTTTGGGGTGCCACTATGCATCACCTCATTAGGTCCTTATGCAAT